CACCTAAGGTCTACTAGTTTTATCGAATCTCTCATTGAGATCTTTCCATACCATCTCTCGTAAACTTGTAGTATACCATTGCATTGTAGATCTCTTGTGACACTATGTTCAACGACCAAGCAAAAACTATAACATTGCATCTCACCCAATAGGGATACATAGGTGAAGTTGGATTTGGCTTTTCACAAGTTCCATCAACAAGATCATATTTATTTTTTGCTTCAAGAGAGATCTTCATAGCTCTAGACCATACACCATAGGTTTCCATGCCTTTAAGTTCTAATTCTTTTGGAAGCAATACTAGATTAGGTGTATCGGAGGCATGGATACGGAGGGTATTTATGAAATTAATGGCTTTTGTATTCATGTTTATAGAGAGGATGATTGCCGAGTTAATGAAGAAAACCCGACGTTGATACCATGTTAAAACTAAATAAAAAATTGAAGAGAGAATAAAGAGATAAAAGGTTTTTCTCATTGATGATTTCCAAATCATAAATTACACTCTACTCGTCATTAGCTTTATATATTCTTACAAGTGTACATTCTAGAGTTTTACAATAGAAAATTGAATAACTAACTTCCCGACTATTCTATTTTTTTATGCCAATCGTTGGTTATTACGAGTCCAAAGGTGTAGGGAGTCTCCTAGTTTCTTGGATCATTTGACAAGTAGCATCCGTCGCAAGCATTCTTCATGTCTCGTCGCTTGTCATGGTCTCTACTTGGCTCAATCATTATAGCATACACTGGTGTGTAAAGTTAGTTATAACTAACTTTCTTCTTTATGCTTCCCGCAATGCTTCCATGCATCTCACCATGCATATTCATCACACACACACTGTTGACATACATTTTAACACATATGATATTTACATATAGTATGTTTTAATCGTCATTTTTATCAATTTTTTCATTCTATATTTTTAGTTACATCTTATGTTTCAATCTATAGTTCCTATCAATTTTTTCAACAAAATGCAACGGAAATATCTCCAATTAAAATACCCAAAAAAAAATTCTAAATACTTCAAAAAAAACATTCAAGTCATGTTTTTTTGTTTGTTTGGATAAAAAAATTTGCTCTTATTAAATATTAAAAAACTATTCAAAAATAATATATATATATATATATATATATATATATATATATATATATATATATATATATATATATATATATATATATAATTAAAAAAATTGAACACTTTACCCTAAAAAGTAAAGCAAATGAAAGCCAGTAAGAAGAGCTAAAAATGTATCGCAACAATGATGACAAACATCGCATATAGGATGAATATAATGCATCTTAAAATATTTCTCACTCCTTTGTCAAACAATTGTATTCCTTGGATTTTGATTGGACAAAAAAGAATAAATAAGAGAAACGATTGTGAATGATAATAGAGCAATTGATCAAAACTTAAACATCTACAATTTATCAATAAGATAAACCCGGTTCATGAACATGAATGGTTCTATGTCCCATGCATTATGCCCTATCATAAAAGTAATACATGATCATATAATTTCATAAGACAAACATCAAATTCTAAAGTCATAAATTATAAAAAACCAATTTCCACTCAAACAATAGCATTGGCAACGACTGGCAATTCTTACCCACAAATTAGCACGTTCCTTTCCTATGGGTCTAGTGACGACAGATCTTATGAGTGAAAAAAAAATCAGAAATATGAACAATTACGTAAATATTACAGCAAAAACTGGAAGAACATCAGTCCCCAATTATTATTCTCACAAAGCTATCATAAACCCTAGTAGACAATAACTTCTAAACCATTTTTAGGCATATTAATTGGTAATAATTATCTCTTTTAACATATCAAGATATGTTGTCTAACAATATATTAGTCTTAGAAACTAAACATACAAACCTATAACGAATGTAGAGCCCCCTTGAAAATCCCTTTTGCAATCAAACATATACCACCGTCCTTTATTAATAGAGAGAGAAAAACAATTCTAATCTAAGGTAAATATTATAATTAAGGAGGACCGCATAAAAATTCCTTGTTCACGGATAGTTTTATGCACAATAATAGGTAAATGTACCATGATCATCCAAATGATTTCATGGTTCGAGCCTAAAAATCATAATTCAGGGAAATACAAGTACTTGGCTACAATAAATGAAGTTCTGTAAAAGACAAACAACATTTAAGTTTGATAGTCACAACCATGACGCAAGATACTTAAATGAATTTTCATAAACCAATTTACCTTTCAATTCTCCCTTGGGGTTGACAATGACACCAACATTATCTCGCATACACAATAAAAAAAACTATGATTTAAAATCCGAAAACCCAAATTCAAAAATCAAAATAGAAGATACCAAATAAAAAAAAAGTGTAATAGAATGTAAAACACTAACCAAGAAAAATAGTCAACAATGTAGCCGATGTAATTGGCCCTCAATTATGCATATTATTAATAAGAATCAACCAAACAATTAGCTCTATAACATTCTATATAACTAAAAGAAGTGAACATTTCACTATTCACTTACTCGTAGCACTAGATTCGATGCACTATGGATGAGTTTTTTGTGATTTTCTGGATTTTGATGGGTGAAAATTATATAATTTTTTTTATAGTTTGGTCCATGATATTTTTAAACAAATATTTCAATTCACATCTTCATTTGCTCTTCTATTTTGGTCCCCGGATATAAAGATAACGAGAGGGAGGAAGAGAGAGACGGAAGGAGAAAGAGATCATCGGCTAAGCTTATTTAGGTCACTTTGGCTAGCGAAAATTCATTAGATTTTTTTTTATCTTTGAGAGATGAGTTTGCCCATGGTGGTTTCAAGCCATTAAACAATTAGCGAGAGGTAGATCGAAGCCAAAAAAAAAAAAATGATTTGATTGTGTTTTTGTTTCTTTTTTTGTTTTGGTGTAAATAACATGATTTTTAAGGTTTTAGATGTATTTATTGACTTTATTTCGATCATTTAGAAATGTTTGAGGAAAAATGATAGCAAAATTCAATTCTAAGTGGTCCGAAACTTTATCTCCAATTTTTCGACGAAGCTTCGACGACCTCAAGTTCGTTGGAAGTGTTATATATATATATATTGAGTTGAGAAGCAACCCAAGCATGCGAGCTCGCAATCGTAGGCCCAAGAGTGCTAGCGTGGCTGCATAGGCCAACCGGACATGGCTTTTTTTCTTTTTTTCTTTCTATGTATATGTGTGTGTGTGTGTGTGTGAGTTTGTTGTCTTGATTGCGCAAGCCATCCAAGCATCCGGCTTCTTCTTTTTCCTTCCTCTCTCTCTCTCTCTCTCACTCACTATATATACATAGCGTGAGTTGGCCTTTTTCTTTTTTTTTCTTCTTTTATACATATACTTCTCTTTTCTTTGCCCCCGGAGCATTAGTGTCGCTTTTGGGAGCCGCAGTAACATGTAAATTGAAATTATGTTTTGGTTCAAGCCTTCTTTTTCCAATTATAGTTAATTGTATCTCAAGGTAAGTTTCAATATTGACATATATTTTGGCTTTTGTAGATTTGTACAATTTGGACCAAAGGTGAAGTGTTATTATGGGGCTCCAAACTCGTCAGTGGACATTTTGAAAAAAAAATTATGAAAAATATAAAAAATAAATCGTTATTTTTTTAGTTTTGTGTGTGTATATATATTACTCTTATTCTTTAAATTTTTTTCAATTACTTGTTATTAAAATTCTTATCAAATTAATTTTTTGATATAATTTTATTTGTTAATAAATTTAGTTTTTTAATATATGAATTTTAGAATACAATTTTAGATTATCGGTATTTTATTTTTTGAAAATATATTATTATAATTTATACAATAAATTATTTTTTTTCTTTTTACATGAGTTTTTTATTTTTTAAAATTTATTATTATTATTTATAAATTCAGATTATATATATCACTTCGCTTCTAGGCCGCTTAAGGTTTTGGATGGTTTCCAGTCGACACCATTTTCAAACGACAAATACTAGCAGTGAATTATAATCGAGTCATTGCATGTTGTCAAAATAAATTAATTAATCCATGTATTATGAAAAATAATAAAATAATCCCTTAACTATAGTTGGTCTTGTTTAATTAATTTAAACAGACTGCGTAGAGAAGGCAATTTCACCTGATTTTTCGGTACCCATGATCATTCGATCCAACAGGAGGTTAAATTGAATTTTTATTTGGTTTGACCGAAATCATATCAAAGATGAATAAAATTCAACTTGATTTGACACGAGTTCACCCCATCTTATTTTTTAACACTCTTTTTATTATTTTTTGAGCTGTATTTTTATTTTTTAAGATAATATATGGATTTTTATCCTAACTCACAAAAATTATGTAGTTTTTCTTTTAATATTTATTTTTTATGATAAATTATAATTTTATAATCAAACAATGGTGATATAGTTTTTCTTTTAATATTTATTTATTTTTTTTGTAAATTTGATTTAATAATAATAATAATAATAGAATCCAAATCGAGTAGGGTATCAAGTATTGCTTCTCGTTGGGTGTAGAGTTTCTTTATCTAATTCAACTTGATTAAATCAAAAGTGAAAACCGTTAATGAATTTAGATATTTCGAATTAAGAACGAGTGGAGTAAAATTCAATTCCAATCTGATTCATTGTCATTTCTAGAATTTTGTTCGAAAAAAAAAAAAATTCTTATCAATCTACGGTATCTACTTATTTATTTTCTCTTTTTATTTCTTACCAAAAAAAAAATTGAAAAATAGCATGAAATGGAAGAAAAAGTTATAAATACTTAAAATGTTTGGTTTTGAAGCCATGGGATTAATTGATTTGTTTTACCAAACTACAGGGGCTAAGTTATAAATATTAGTAAGCTGTTACCAACTTTTAACACGGTACCGTTACGATCAAATTGTTATATAGTTACCATTTTAACCCTACCCAGTAACGATAATGTCCGTAATAATAACGAACTGTCGAAAGGACGCAGGATTAACTTAAGCCATGTCCAGTGTATCCCACTTTCCGATTCTCTCTCCAACCACCACCAGCACTGCCGTCTCGGCCACCAAAACCAACCGCTTCGCATGCCACGTCAGCACTAGAATGTCCTTGAACCAAACCACCCCTCGTGGTCCACAATTACCAAACCCCAAAACCATACTTTCCACCATAACAAACCTATTGTGGGGCCAATCACTGCCGCCAGGACTCCTAATCTCAACCGTCCGTACAGCCTGGAACTCCACGTGGCAACTCATGATGTCCCAGCTCGCTCCCTCTGATTCCTCCGGCAGTTACACTAGACCCGCCTCCAAATTCCGCCTAAATCTCCCATTTACGCTCCAAAACTCACCAAAACTTCACCTCTACGTGGGCTTACCTTGCCCATGGGCGCACAGGACTTTGATAGTTCGTGCCCTGAAAGGTCTGGAAGATGCAGTCCCTGTCTCAATTGCAGGACCGGGTCAAGATGGATCATGGGAATTCAAAGATATAACAACCCCAAACAGGGATAGGAATATTCTTGTCCCGGGTAAGGATAATGCTAATGGGTGCCAGAATTTGAAGGGTGTGTATGGATTAAGGAGAGCGGGTGGGTATGATGGGAGAGCTACGGTGCCAATGTTATGGGATGTGGAGAAGAAGGAAGTAGCGTGTAATGAGAGTTATGATATTATTGAGTTTTTCAATTCTGGTCTTAACGGGTTGGCCCGGAACCCAGGTTTGGATTTATCACCGAAGGAATTGAAGGGAAAGATTGAGGAGTGGAATGGAGTAATTTACCCTAATGTGAACAACGGGGTTTACAGGTAAAGTTTTAATCTTGATGGGTTTTTTATGATTTATTTTCTTCTGTTTTTTTTTTCTTGGTTTTACTGCGCTGCACTGAAATAGATTTATGAATGGTGTTTTGTTATCATAGGTGTGGGTTTGCTCAAAGTCAAGAGGCATATGATAGTGCAGTGAATGGCTTATTTACTACACTGGAGATAGTGGAAGATCATTTGGCCACTTCACGATACTTGTGTGGAGATACGTTGACACTTGCAGACGTTTGCTTGTTCACCACTTTAATTCGGTTTGATATTGTGTATAATGTTCTGTTTAAGTGCACAAAGAAGAAGCTGATTGAGTATCCTAATCTTCATGGCTATTTGCGCGACATGTATCAAGTATGCAAATCCATCTTTCTTTACCATTCGGGCTTAAGCACGGCAACAGCAATATTATATTATTCATGCTGCTTCTTCATTTGTAGCTGCTATTTTTACCCGACATTTTTTTGATTTTTTTTTTTTTTGTTGGTCCATAAAGGAGTGTTTCAGCTTTCCAAACTCATTAAAAGATAAATGTTTGTGCAATTTGTTATTTTATTTAGGTTCATTAACTTATTCTGCTTTTATAGTTGCAATGGCTTAAAGTGTGTGCTTGTTTATGAAATGAACAGATGCCAAAGGTTGCTGGAACCTGCAATTTTTCTGCTATTATGGATGGTTACTACAAAGTACTTTTTCCATTGAATCCAGGCAGCATTTCTCCTGTTATGCCTTCTGGATGTGAGCATGAAGCCCTCTCCACACCTCACAATAGGGAGTCATTGTCATTGGCGAACAAAACTACGCAGGTCTCTGTTTCATGATGGATTGGCCCTTGGTATGGACTTTTGATGTGAATGATATCTGTCATATATCTGAGTTTGTGTGATGTCGATATGTTGAATTTATTTGTAGAAGAAATTGAATAATAGATCTCATACTGAACTGTTTTTCTCCTGAGGTTAACGCACTCTGGCTCTTAGCAGGTTGTTTAGTAGGCTGTAAGCCCGCCTCTTTTCTGTCAGGTCTGAAAATATAGTGATGCCATTTGAAGACTTAGTCAATTTTACTCTATCCTTTTTGCTGACCATTAAATTTAAGAGTGTGAAGACATTGGCTGGAGCTAAAAGAAATGATGAGAGAAGATTTTAAGTACCCACGAATGAAGAATGGCTGTAGGATATGAATGTTGGCACTGTCAAGACTTGGTTCAATTTTTTCATGGAAGGCAAACAAAATGAAACTAAGAGCACGATATAAAACCAGCAACATATTGGGAGAGGGAATTTCTAGAGTCTCTAGCAAGTGGCCTAAAGATATATCATATATGGAGGTTGACAGAGTCAATGCATATAGATATGTGGTTGCCTATGATCCTATAAAGTTTGTGGTTACCAAATACGATTATAGAATTAATCTTATGCTGATATCAAAAGGAAAAGGAAATTGAAGGAGACTGCAAAAAGCCCCCCTTATGGAGATTGATGCATGATTACATTATGTGATCATTTGTGGTTTCTTCCTGATGCTGGGGGAGACAATTTTTTGTCATGGAGAGTGTAGGATGTTTCGACAAAAATGTAGCATCAGAATTTCAGTGAATGTCACTGTTCCTTATCTTTTATATGCTGAGTGGCATGATGCTTTATTTAATCGCAAAGGTGTCGGTCTAAGATTGTGATGCAAGACTAATTTCAGCCCTGTATATGGCTGACATGAGGTGAATGCCCCTTTCTGTATGAGAGAAAATTAAGGAATTTTGCTGCGCTGCCGTATCTGTGCTTCTGTGGTACTTGAAGCGGTCTGCCAAAGAAGTACGACTAACATTGCAACCAATTTGCCTGCTCAGGATGAAGGTGAATAAACACTTACTATGCTCTCAGAAGCTCTCTTATCCAGGTCCAAATGTTAAATAAGCTGGAGCTCAATTGCTTAAGAGAACAAAAGGGAAGATAAATATGCTACTTCTAGAATTTTAATGCCTTCATTGTCCTGCGTTGAGAAGATAACTGTTACGTTGTTTCCCTGCAAGTCAAAATTCATTTTCCTAATATGATGCATAAAGTAGTTTAGCAAAGAATGGAGTTCTGTTTTTCACAATACCAAATATGAAGAAATGTATCTGTTAACTTTTACAACCAGGCAGAGGTTAAAAGAAAACTGAAAAAGCTACTCATCCTCGCTAAACTTCGTGCGGGTAACAGTTACAATTCAACATGTACTTCAACTTGGAAGGCAAAAAATACTCTAAACCCATTGAATCCTCGTATACCATTTTTGCTAAAAAGTTCAGAGGCTTAATTTTGTAAGTTCTGACTTCCATACACGGCCAAAGAATGCCGATATACATCTCAGAGGATGACCTTTCAGGGGTTTTTAACTAATTGCTAATAATCTGTCACGAAACATGCGGTTATCTTCTCTTCATTCTTCAACACAATCAAGTTGTTGCCATCTGAATCGAATTGATCCCATCTTTAGATGCAAAATTTCAAGCACATAACCGTCTTAAGTTGAGAATGGTGCCAAGTATTTGATAAGCAAATAGTAAATGCCAAGGCCAAATAGCAGCAGCGGCTGCTGCTTGTGCACAAACAAGCCATACTGCATTGCGCTTGTATTGAATCTTTCACTCCCCCAAATAGCAGCCAGTGGCCAATCCATGACACCTAACTTCAATGGGAAGCGATCAAAGCGGATAAAACGGCTAGTGCAATGACAGCCAAAAACCTGTATAATAACAGTCCACTGCAATAAACACAAACATATATGATCCAGTTTTTATGTTGCCGAACTGCAGCATGATATCCTAGATTTAGATGCAAAATCCACAGCAGAGATGGTAGATCATAATCTGTACATCGAAAAACAGATTTCTAGGGCCATATATGACCCAGTGCCAAACAACCACTTGGCTTGACAGAAAAACCACGACTTTAACAAGATTGCCAGCAGGACCAAGAAAATTAAGCACATCCACTTCAAAAATTTCTTCTCCATTCATGGATGAGATAGTAACAAAATATCAGCAGTTTCATAATCTGCACATCCACTCATCTTGTTGCTGAATTAGATCCTGCAACAGGGCAAATGGTGATCATTAGAAGGAAAATGAAGTGCAGAAGCACAAAAGGTAGCAAGCAGCAGCATCACAAGAACAACCAAGTCACTCAAACATCATCACTGTAGCACTCCCAGGCCCCAGTCTTTACAGTAGAACATTACAGAAAATGGGGCAAATAAGCCATGCAAAAGAAATTATTTTTAAAGTAGAAAATCTGGAACGACCCATGTTATATTCCACCCAAGGCAGCAAATTTTACCAAGATATGTGGAAAGACATACGCCCATCTGAAAAATCAAGTAGAGCACCAAGGGCTAGCAACTACAAATAAAGAGCTGCAGCATCAGAGTTCTTCACAACAACGATTACCTTTTGACAACTTCAATCCATGTATTCATTAATTGACTACAGGATATATAGAAAGCCAAAGGAACAGCAGCCACTTTTAAAAAAAGTTCTGGTTAGAGAACAAAACGAAATTTGATTAAGAAAGAAGCAAAAATACCAAAATAATACTGAAGGATAAAAGCAATTTTTGAATGGGAAAAATAAAATTCAATATAAATCTGCTATCCCGTCCTGCTGAATGTAAGTTAAACATGCATCCCTAGGAAGGCTCAAATGCAAAACACCATATGTGATCAATGAACAAAGATGGATTTTTAAAAATCCCTGCATTCCTAATCTAAATTAAAATGAATTGCCAACTCAAAGATATATGACCAATCATACCAGTGCAAATAAAGTTTGGTTTTACTAGGCTATCCTTAACCTAAAAAACCATAGGTTTTGGATCTTAAGCCTAGCAAACTCTAAAGCATCCAAGGAAAGTTTGTAGACATCAACAGGGTATATGCACAGAGATTGAATCTCAATATCATTAAAAAGTAAAGAGGCCAAAATTTCCACGTTGCTCAACCCCATGCCTCATAAAGAGTTAGAATAAGCTTACTATTTGAACGTTTCATGTTCCTGCAGAACTTACTGCCACAGCGACACTGGAATACCTCCACAGGTTGATCAGTATCATCAAAATCAATACCATAATCCTGCAGCCACATAGACATCAATTCTTATAAGTACAGAATGATTGCACATGTGATGTAAATTTTAAACCTGACAAGTGCAAGGGACACACAACAGAAACAAATGGGGCATATAACCAACTGCATATGTCATAGCTACAATAAATTTAAAGCTCCCAATCACTTAGGAAGACAAAACACTATCTTTGTGATTTCAGTAGCAGCAAAGGATCTGACATTATTTCTCATGAAACAACAACAATGTTGCAACAGAATATAACTTACCATAGATGAAAAAAATCTCTTTCCATATGCGATTTATTAAAAAACACAGCATAATGCCAACCATGCCTCCCTATTGGAAGCAACAGAGCATATGTAACAGCCGAGCAGAATCATGAAAAAATTAATGAACAACTAACATTGCTCACCCAGGTTAACTCTTCTAAGGCATTCACTTCTCTTGTTGTGAAGAAAGCAAGCTGCATAAAAATTGATCCAATGTGACATGCTACTTTGAGAATAGAATATAACTAGTCCGCTTTACGCGCTACACTATGAACCAAACTAAATATATTTATTTCAATTTGATAACATGTATTATGTTGTCATTCAATTAAAATATATTAAATTAAAGATAAAAAGATAAAAAATCATCTAATTTAATAACTTTTAATGAAAATTTTGTATCTAATTTTTTTGTTTATTTCTTTAAAATAAATTTTGTAGTTAAAAAACAGAATTTGTTCTTTCTTATGCATTTATTTTAAAATGAAAATCCATAATAATCTAAATATAAATTTAACATAATTTTTTTTTAAAAAAAAGTCTTAATATTTTTTCATAATATTGCATCGAAGAAATAAAGAATCAATTAATATAAAAACTTGCATAAAAATTAATAAATGAATCTTTTTTATTCTTGTTTGATACCGATGAGAATAATATTTTTTTGAAAATATGTACATATGATTTCTATATATTCATTTACAAAATAATGACTACTATTAGTATAAAAAATTGTATTTAAATTATTAAGTAGTTCTTCTAAACATTATTTCAATTATTTTATTTGAAGGAAATTAATTTTAAAATATTAAAAAAACAGTAGTAAATTGTTGATGTTATAAGCATAAATACATAGTTAATTTTCAATAAAATTAATAACTGTACCTACTCGATACATCAATTTTATATGTAGCATTAAATATTAAAATTAGTTTTAATATTTTTTTATACATCATGACCATACTCATTGTATCAAAATGTGTATCATAAACCAAATGTTAAAAAAAAAAATTGTAAAAAATATATTGAAGTTAATAGAGTGCAATAAAAAAAATACAAAATTAATTTCGACAAAATTTGATTATATAAAAAATAAGTATATAAAACTCGTGAATTTTATTTTAAAATTTTGATTATATAAAAAATAAAAACAACTACAAAAAAACTTATTCGAAGTTCATACATAGAGAAATAAATAATATTTATTAAAATATAAAATAAAAAATAAATTTGATGGCAATTTTTATAATAAATGACAAATTAAAAAGATCAATTTTGAACATTAAGAATAATATAATCCGATATATATATTCATTCTAAAATCTAAAAATATATCATATATATTCTATAACCGTCATTTTGTGAAAAAAAAAATAAGATTTGATTTTTTATAATTTTAACACCCAATTCAATAATAATAATGAAAAAAAAAAAAGAAACATAAATTGGTGGGAAAAACAAAGGAAAAAAGCAAACAAAAAAAATGAAGAGACACGCCCTTGAGCCTAACTTCTGCAGGCCCAACGCTCGCCTATGTGGTTGGCGCTAGCTGCATACTTAAGTGTGCAGCAGCTCAAGTGATTAAAAATTACATTTTAAACTTTTAGGCACCAAAATAAAATATTATATAAAATTTGAATATTAATGCCCAAAAACAATTTGAAAATTACAAAAAAACCATTATTAGCTACAGTAGATCCATAGTGTTTTGTGAGGAGATTAACAATGAAAATCACTGTTTATTTTTCCTTTTTGTTTTAGTTTTGTTTGTTAATCTAGTATGTTCAATAAAGGCATGATAATAAGAATCCAAATGAAGTATCCATACATGATAATAATGATGATCAGGAGTCTCTATCTTCACAGGGATCTCAATCATATTTGCATCAAGACATCTGACAAGAACAAAAGAACTCATATCAGAATGCATCGACTCACTGATCGCTGCCATAGGAAAGGATTCTTATGTAGGGCAGAATTTTCATGTCCTCCTTTTTCTCTTATCTTTTTCAGATAGAAATCAAGTCCTTTTCCAGTGCATGTCAAATAAGGAAAACCAACTGACAAGTTCAAAAAGAAAAGACAGAAACAATGTCCATAGGAGATCAACTAATCAAAGCAAATACGCATCGGATATGTAGACTTACCTGTGATTGATAAACCTAGCAACATTTCCATAAAATGTCGCATCCAAGCACAGAGCTTCTTCATCCTTTACAAATCCTTTCAAGCACCAATCTGCATCAAGTATAACTGGATAGGCATGCTTCTCAGTCTTGTTGCTACTTGTCCTTTGCATCTTCCTCTCATAGAACTCTTTGTTGGTTAGTATCTCCCCTACATACTCACAGACAAATGTTCCTTTTGCTAGCATTTCTAGAGTTCTGAGACCCCACCCCTTTCCTTCAGGGGTAAAGAAAACCTGACGCATAAAAAGAATTAGCAAAGAGAAACATTGTGAGGAAACAAGAGGACATCATAAGAATATTCAAGGAACAACTTAAGTGATCATATTTCTTATATAAAGAACAACAAATCCATAATCCATAATTGTAAAGCATGAACTCTGTCAAAACATTGGTCTCAACCTGTTGAAGGGAATGAGATTTTCAGGATTACTGCTAAATTGAAGAGATTGAAAGTGGAATTAAACAAAACTAGCTACAGTAATATTTCTGCTTGATAAGAAGCAAGATCTTGATGAGGCTCAAAAGCAGTTGTATTTGGGCAACCTGGGGCTGCTGAAGAGAGCTTTTTCAATTTATGTTAAACTTTATAACCTCTATTGCAATTCCATATTTAAGTGATAGCATTCATTTATTAACTAAACAATAAAACTAACGAAATACCACTCAAAATTTATATATATATATATATATATATGAAAAACACTAACATGTAACTTACCTAGCTAAGATTTAAACTGTTTAGTGTTAAACTTCACAAACATCCATATTTACTTGTCTTTTTTAACACTAACCTTTATTGTCCATATTTAGCTTTTCGTATTCATTTTTTATTCTAAAACCAACCAAATAATTATTTACCATGCAATCCCTCCCTCCCTCCCTCCCTCTCCATTTCTTTATTTCTGTGTATTTGAGAACTTCAATGGGAAATTATTTTAATAAAATTTTATACCTGCAACTTGCACCTTATACCTCGCTGCACGACTCTATTTCCACACTGTTTGTGGCAGCCACATTTGCTCCAGCATTCTTTTATATATTTCCTCTTCATGTGACCCTTGCATGGTTCCAACATCTCATCATTTTTTGATCTTTCCAGTGGGCAATCTCTACAATAAGAAAGGCATTGTCGTTGAGAATCCCGAGTCAGAGAGATGCAATCTTCCAAGAAATCTTCCTTGACAAAGCCTTCTAAAGTGTATGCAAAACCATGCTCAGCGTCACTGGAGCAAACACAAGGTGTGGATGACGACAAACAATTACCAATACATGCTGAGCAGCAATTTTCAGCCCTAATTTGAGAGAGAGTAAAGTTGGCATAAGCATTCTGAAAAATCAGATTCCGGGGTATGTAGTTAAAATATGGAGGAAACTTGCTGTTTACTTCGTTCGACCAAGGAATCTCAAACATTTCTTCTCCCTTAGTGATGTCAGTATGGTAGTGAAGGGACCTAAACTCATCAGGAGTCAGTTGACACTGTGGAACCACAATCAAACTACCAAACTCAGCGTCTCTAAATTCATTTTCTTTGCCACTTCCAATAGCTTCACTCAATTTCACAACCTCCAAACCATTCAGAGATTGTAGTGGTCTTGAAATTTGAAGAGCAGCCACCCCATCAACTGATCCATTTGCGATGTAGGCTGGTACATGGTTTTTTTCACCAGCAGATTTCTTCAATAGATCAAGAGCTGGTGTTACATTCAATATCCTTTCCTGCGATTCATGAGAGGAATCAGTTGCCAAATCCAAGAAGCATTCACACATATCTTTCAGCATTTGCATGACAGAAAAGTTTGGATCAAGGATTTTGTAAGATCGGAGACATTTCTCCTGCATTGATTGCAGAAGTTCATCTTGACTAGGCATATGAAAATTTGGTCTTCCAAGCATAGAGTTGCAGCTCAGAGAAATCTTCACCTCTCCCAATGCTGAGGTGGCAATCTCTAAGCTAGCCGGAGCTTCCTCTGGAATGGTTGCAAGTTTGCAGCTGTCTCTTGTTGGACTTGATGAAACTGGGATGTTTTCTTCCCTATCTTCTCCAGCTAAAAACTGAGATGATGGAGGTTCTTGGAGATGCTGTTTGCCTGGAGAAACTCTCTGAATAATAGAATGGTCTTTGCTTGCAGAATCTTTGAAGGTGGAAGAAACTAAAATCAGCCCACAAGAAAGGCACTAATTGTAATGTCAACATTCAAATCTTTACACAAGAAAAAACAAAATCAACCAATAAGAGAGACATTAATTGCAGTTTTGACATTCTGCAAACAGTACCCTCCGATTCCTTGGTTTTCCAATGGTTGAATCAATTTACCTGGTCGGATTATTGCAATAGGTTGTGGTACGTCATTAAAAGGCACATCACCAGTAAATGGCTCATCTTTAGGCTTGATCAGAGAACAAGTATCAGGGACTTTTTGTTTGGGTGAGAGAACAATGCCTGGTTGAACTATGAGGTCTTTGAAGCGCACTGCTTGCGATGATCCTTTTAAATTAGGTCTTTTATCTTGCGGAGCAGCCTCAGGTAATAAAGGTTCTTTTCCCTTGTATGAAGGCTGCTTACGAGGCAAAAATGAATCAGTCGGCAATGCTCCACTCATATCAGGTAAATCATGCTGATGAGAGTGTTCCTGTACTGCCAAACGACTAGGAGAAATGGTTTGCGAGCTCATGTTTCCCATAAGATTCTGAGGAGAAATAGGACTGGGCTGTGAATTTCTCATATCCAGTGATTGCTGCTGGGATTTTGCACCAGGCAGTGCTTTCACCTCCACTTTAGGCTTCTTTAAAGGACTTCCAGTCAAGCCAAGGTCACTGTTATTAGGAGAGGAGGATCCTTGCCCATCTTGGCCTCTTCTCAACCGTTTTAATGGTTGTTCTAGCTCACTAGAAATGAGAGTTTCTTCCTCAAAAGTTCCCTCCTGTGATTCAAAATAGCCAGGGGGCATGTCAGAAGATTCAGGCAGACAAGAAAATATACACAATATTACCAGCAAAATAAATAAATAACTTACAGTAGCATTATCATTCTTGTCCGGAACCTGCATATGAGACATATATAGAACAAACTCAGTTACAAGCCTTTCAAAACAGTCAAAAAATAGGCAATAAATAAAAGAAATGCACCTTAGACTCCTCCTCGTCAAAAATGGCATCCGCAAGAGCTCTATAATTTTCCTCTTCAATAAGCTCCCAATTTTTTTCATACAGCTTTAGCATCTTTTTCAACACGGGTTTAACTTGCTTTTCGTTTATTCCAAGAGCTTTCATAGCCCGAAAGGCATTCATAACTCTCGGATTAGGCGCCATCGACAATCAGATACCTGCATTTGTAAGTTAAAAGTAATCAAAATCAACAAGAGCAAACTCTTCAACTATCACAACAAATAAAAGAAAAAACACATGCACTCTTTAGGATTCTTGTAACGTAAATATCCACCGCGTTCCTAATTAGGGTGTTTTCAAGATTTATCTTAACATTGAAACAACAACCATTTTGGAATAAAGTTGATACTCAAAAAGTACATTTCTAATTAGGTTTTTTTCTTAATTTAATTTAAAACTCAAATGCACATGCACAGCCACACATCAAGCAAGAGCTGATTTAGCATAAAACCACGGAACCCTAAATTCAACAAGAATCAAATTTCTCACATTTCTCTAATACTAATCAAAGGAAAGCAAGCATGATGACTAAAGGAACATAAATAATCGATAAGGAAATAGCAATGTACCTGATTATTAGTATTTCAACATAAAGAAGAGGAAACAAAAACAAGAACGAGAACGAAAACCCTAACTCATTTGGAGAAGATTAGAGACTGCCATGCGTTTTTGAGTTTTTGAATGGGAAAAAGCGCTTTGAATGGAAACTAAGGTTAAAAGTTTATGTGAGAAAGAGAAAATTGGTTCTTCTGTACTAATTTATGTATTTACTGTTTGTCCTCGAGAGTGGCTCCGCGTTAAAATTGACACCAGTCGAGGGCGCAGGCGTGTTACACAAACGAAGGGGGTGAACGCACAAAACGGCGAGGGAGGATCGCGTGTGGGTCATTCATATAGGGAGGATCGCTTGGGTTTTTGGGGGACATTTCTGTGACGAGGGATAGCAGAGGTAGTGACGTGGCTAGTTAAAATATAATGTTGTCCAGGAGCTTCATTTACACACTCGCTTATCTTTGACATCTTTGTGGTCAAAGATGGCAAATAGAAATTAGCATTAATCAGGTCCCTATTTTGTTTTGTTTGTTTATTTATTTTTATTTTTTTGAAAAACAATTTTCAGTAGATAAAATAATTTCAGAGGAACTATTTTTTAAGATTTTTTTAAAAAATATATTTTCTGATATTTGATAATAAATGAAAAAACTATTAAAAAATATATTTTAATATTTATTTGATACATAAAATTGAAATACAAAAACAGATCGAGATTATTACATTAAAGAATGTTTGAGAGATATTTATGTGATGAGGGAGAGCAGAGGTAGTGACATGGCTAGTTAAAATATAATGTTATCTAGGGAGCTTCATTTGCACACTTTTTTATCTTTGTGGTCAAAGATGGTAAATAGAAATTAGCATTAACTAGGTCTCTATTTTTTGTTATTTTTGGAAAAAAAAAACAATTTTGAATAGATAAAACAATTTTAGCGAAACTATTTTTAAAGAATTTATTTTTTAAAAAATATTTTCCGATATTTGACAATTAAATAAAAAAATTATTAAAAAATATATTTCAATATTTATTTGATACGGAAAATTGAAATACAAAAACGAGACTTTGATTGTTACATTAACGAGTTTTTGGGAGACATTTCGGTGACGAGAGGGAGAGGGAGCGAGAGGTAGTGATGTGGCTAGTTAAAATATAATGTTATCTAGGAAGCTTCATTTGCACACTCTTTTATCTTCATGGTCAAAGATGGTAAATAGAAATTGGCATTAACTAGGCTTTCATTTTTATTTTTTTTATGAAAAACTATTTTAGAGAAACTATTTTTTAAGAAGTTTTTATTTTAAATATTTTCCGATATTTAGCAATTAAATGAAAGAACTATTGAAAAATATATTTTCAAATTTTTTTGATATAAAAAACTGAAATATAAAAACAGACTAATTGTTACATAATGAGTTTTAAGGGAATTTCAATAAAGCATATTCACAATCTTATAATATAAAAATTATTAAAAGATCTCACATTCATAATAGTTCATATACAAAAGCTACCAAAATAGAGTATATGAGTTACTAATATGTTGGTGTACCAAAACATAAAGCATTAGTTATAATTAAGAATATATTGAGATAAAGACTCATGATGTTGAAATATCATTTGAACCATAATTTTTTTTCATTTGGATATAAGAAATATTTTAAAATTAATTTACAACTAAAACTAAACTTTTTATGAAGTATTTTTAAAATCAATAACATGTACTTAGAAAATTTTAATAAATTTTTATAAATACCGACTTTAAAATTTAAATTCAAAAAATAAATGTACATTTTTAACCATCAAACCAATTCATCTAAACTACTTGGGACAAAATCAAGTCAATAATCACATTTACTTGGAAAAAAAAATTCTAAATAATCTTAGCATTGTTATTTTGGTAACTCAATTAAGAATTTTTTTTAAAAAAAAATTGAACCGATAATTTAGTCTAAAAAATAGTTTTACAAATTATTAGTTATTATTTGTGGATAATTATTCATTTGGTTTCAAAAGATTAATGTTGAAATAATTTGTAATTGATTATTGACTACAATTACCAATAAAATTTTACAACCGATTAAAATTAGTCATAAATTATTGATTTAGTTGCAAACGAATAGTGTTGGAAAAATAATATATTTATTAATAAATTAATTAGTTTCAAACTTTTTACAAATGATTGCGGTCTTGTAACAATCATTTTCAACCATTTAAGTATTGTTTATGTGGTGTTTAGGATAATGGTTAAATAAAGAAGGAGAAAGAGAAAAAATTGTTAATATATATATATATATATATATATATATAGAGAGAGAGAGAGAGAGAGAGAGAGAGAGAGAGAGAGAGAGAGAGAGAGAGAGAGAGAGAGAGAGAGAGGTGAGTAACGCGAGAGCAAGATAACTCGTGAGAGAGAGAAAATGTTTTCTTCTTTTTTAACTTGAAAGTCACTATCTCAAAAATAGTCTATTAACTTCTATTGGCTATAAATCAAATTTCGTTTACCTTTTTTCGTAAATGTGAAACAAATATCGAAAAATAGAGAAAAATGAGGAAAACAAGTTTCGAAATTTTTTTTTAAACAAACACGACCCAAATTCAATGATTCATATGATGTAATGCTAGCAAACATACTCTTATTTAAGTTGCCTATGGACTAAAAGTATAGGATTGCACTAATTTTTTCTCCATCTATAAGAGCCTATTTTGTTTTTTTATGAAAAATTTATAGCTTGAGACCAACAACGTTAAATTATACTAATTTTTTTATCAATGAGAGTCCATTTTAATTTTTTTAGAAAAAAATTCATAATTTGAGACTAATAGCATTAGATATTGATTTTTTGATCGATGGGAATCTATTTTATTTTTTAAAACAAAACCCATAGTTTGAGACTAATAGCATCGGGTCATTAATTTTGTTTATCGATGAGAGCTCAATTTTTAAAAAAAAAAGAAAAAAGAAAAGAAAAGACATCATGGTTTGAGACTGATAGATAACAATAATAACATTAGGTTACACTTATTTTTTGATCAATAATAGTCCATTTTTTTAGGAAAAAAAGTCTGTCATTTGATACTAGCAATATTAAGTCACACTAATTGTTTTTTTATCAATAAAGGTCTATCTTTTTATATAAAAAAAACCTTCATAATTTGAGACTAATATCATTAAGTCACACTAATTTTTTTATCGATGAGAACTTATCTTGTTTTTTTTTTATTTTAAGAAATTTTAAGAAAAACTCCATGTTTGTCCTCATCCATCCATAAAACCTATTTTAGTGCATTTGTAGTGTCTCAATCATGATTTTATGTATGTCGTGCGGTATTTACCCTTTTTTTAATAATCAAATCCTAATATGATCAATATGATGTTTTTTTTTATTGAATCCAAGCTTTTAAATATTTGATTTTTTTTTTTTAATGTCGAAACTTGTTGATATTGATATATGTGTTTATGTCTTAAATTGGAACCTGGATGCATTAATTGCATGAGAAAATGCAACAAATGTCATATATGAACAACTTAATCATGGATTTACTTTCATAAATTTAATGCATAATACCAGCATTCAACGAGTTTTATATCTTGCACATTTTTATTGATATTTTTATAAAATTTATTTTGATATTTTAATTAATTATAAAAAAACTAAGCATACAAAACTAAAATCAATCAATATTAGTTATGGAAATTTTTTAATTTATTATTTATTTTATAGCATTTAATAGCATGCGTGTATTTTAAGTTTCAACTGTCACATAGTGACCTCTCGATGATTACAAAAAAGAAATATAAAACGTATATGTGTGGAGTCGCCACTCGGTTTTCAAAATGTGAAAACTAAGAAAAACCTAACACTAGTCTTAGGAGCTCTAAGTAAGGGGGTTGATTATACAACTAGAGAAGACTACAGATCATCCTAATGTGCCCTTGCAATGAGATTACCTTGTAGTGTTAGTTACAAAAAATTAATTCATGAAAATTACTTTTCTATGTTGATTTGCTTGTTCAATTATTTGGGTTTTTTCGATAATTCCAAAGGAAGATGATTTGGGGACCGAAAAAAAAACTTAATCTCTTGCCTAAAATGTCCTTACGTTGTTAAATACCATTTGAGAAGGTAAAAGTTAGGGCGTAAAGCCCATCACAACTTAAACCCCAATCCCATTATAAAAATGTAAAAATTAAAATAAAATAAATATGGACCATAGGCCCAAAGTCACTTGTCAAACCATAAAATAAAAATAATTACAAGTCTATAGTGAACAAAATAGACATAGATCTCAAGCCTATATCACTCTACATACCACCTTAAAATATTAAATTGAGTCCAAAGCCCAAATTCAAAGCTAAATTTACAAGAAGAAAAAATTAGTAACATAAAAAATAAAATAAAAAACTCAAACCACAAAATAAAATAAAATAAATAATAGTAAGAAAAAAGCTCATCATTGGAACAAAGTTTATCTCGAGTCCTCGACCTAATTCATCTAGATTGACCTAGATCGTCATCACACAACAAAAACTAAACACACAAAGTGCAAGACATAAAATTAAACATGTAAA